TCTGCAAAATAATCACTCAGCTCGGAGAACAACTGAAAATCCGAACCCACACCCGGAGCTACGGACATAATCATCTAGTTCAAGGGAATGGTGCTTAACCAGTTTTCCCTGAACAACGACCATCTAAGTTCCTATCGCTGTTCCCTTCTCCAACTGTGATAGAACGTCAAAGAAATTGACTATATTCCCGAGAATCAAGCAGTGTCCATGATAACCAAAATCAGCCACCACCCGAAACATGTGATTAATCAAATTCCACCACTGTTGACAGCATTTGTCAATATCGAGCGTGAATGAGACGGAAGATGAGTCCCATATGCAGAGATCGCAGCAAAGGTCAACCGAATGGCTACCCTTACGGTCTCTTCTGTTATAATCACCGCTAATGTGAGTAGAGATACAAATGGTAAACACACATCACTTGGCAGCAGATCAGGAAAACGGTCACCCAATCTTGCAGATCAACGAAAAAGGGATCTAACAATTGTGCCCTCACTACTGCGTGCTCAGATGTCCCCGAATCTACCGCCATCACAAGGCGGAGTAAGTTGTCTAACGACGAAGACCAACGGAGCTCAGTGTGCGTTTTGATGAACGTAAAAGCCAAACTCCCAAGCCTAGTACGATTTACTCATCACCCGAACTCTACACATTATGGCGAACACAGGTTTATTAGAGAGAGATAGTATCCTCAACTGATGTAGAAAACGTTTTACTGTCTGCAAGTAGGCCACAACACGGATCTTGTGTGATACGCGCCTATCCTGACATCGCTTGGAGCGCGTGACAAGTAAATAGAAACACCGAATTAGGACACAGAAAGCAAGATCGTCCAAACACAAGCTTCATCCATGGTATGCTAAAGCCTCCTTCCAGTGATAATACAGAGGCCGGAAATCACGATTTAGTACACTGGCGGTTCATTCGTGAAACACTTTCCTTGGCTAACCTTGTGGCGTGTAAACTCAAAAGGCTGCCCATCTCCCTAAATTATAAAGCATGCGGCTCAAGAATCCTATTATTAATCTTTCGGTCACAGCCAACACAACGAACTTTTTAGACTGATGGTGGAAAAATCGTCAAACCTTTCCATCTGAACTCCAGTTAAAGGCTGAAGAAGTTTTGCGAAGTACAGATATGAAATCGCATGAAATAGAAAACGTACCGGCGATGAAGCAGAAGCTTTACTTGACTGCTCCAATTGACGCGTCTTGGTCAAATCAAGTTACAGACTAAATATTAGTATCCCATCAAAAAACGAGTAACGGTTGACTTCACATCAGTCTGATTTTTCCCAGATCTGAATCCTTTAATCATCTCGGGGTTCCTAGAGACCGTGAAACTGGCTTGTTTGTATAGAGATGCTCAGGGTCTTTATAAAAGATCGCTAATACACCAGTCCATATGAAAACATCTGACTCACAGTTAAGTAGTTGCACACTGGAATGACTGACACAGAAGTTTCCTTACCAAGCACGTCACTCATCCGGAACGGCAGCCTTATAAAAGGAGGCGGGGTAATTCTGTATTGCCGAAACCACTTACAATGCAAAGTCGTGAAAAATTAAGGCTCGCAGCTCCCTGATTCTCGTTGGTGCTGACAGCAGCTAAAAGGAAGAGACACTCGTCGTATTGCCTTGGTGTACCGCCCCTAACTCTACAACCAAGACGGACTGCCACGTGCGATTGTACCACAATGTCCTCTAGAAGAACTATGCACTCACATCCATATCATGGGTAATTTCAGCGTACATCGTTTCTAAGCCCGTACCACGATGGGAGAACAATTCAAAGTCGATCTGGAGGAGTTCGAAACCAGTATTTCACTCTGTGATACCGTCAGTTTTGCTCACTCGGTTCGGAAGAGGTAACAGGCCATCTGTGCTGGAGCTTCTGCTTATCAACAAGGAACAAATGATTGATGTGTTGGTTGTAGACTACTCTTTGGGTCGCAGTGATCGCGCAGTCATTAGTTTCAAATTCGTCTGCTATGCGGAATATCGGATAAGAACTATGACACAACGCGAACTATCACACGATACAACCGCTTAACCGAGCTTGTCAGTGCTACGGTCTGGCCGTTCCCCGCCGAGGACCCCCCAGAAGTTACCTGGCATGAATTCAACAACTTCAACCAGGTGTTTAAAGATAGTTCAAAGACGCGGGTTTGCAGCGGGCGTAAATCAGTTTCTTTCGTTAGGAGCAGAACACGAAAATGGATGTTAGTACATAAAACAGCATGGCGAGTGTATAGATTAACACCAGAAACTTGGGACAAATACATAGCCCAACGTAACCACTGCACCCGACTACACAGAAAAGACAAAGCCGCATTTCAGCGGAGGATGGCAAACACCTTCTGTGCTAACCACAAACTGCTGTACAAGCAAGTCAATGGCCTATGAAAGGTGAGGCAAACAATTCCTCTATTCAGAAAGGCAGTAGCCCAATAAGTACGGTTACAAAAGCTGCGAAAGCGCTGTGTATGCAGTATGCCCTTACAGTTCAGATGGTGTTGTCATCAAGCGATTTTGCAGCTCCTGTTGTCCCGCTGACAGGACTCAACTACAGCTTCGGGCTCTTGTGACAGGTATTCGGACAAACTATTTTCCGACAGAAGCTCAATGTCGAATACCCAATTCAAGTGACATCTATGGTTGAAACACAACGTTACTGCATCGGAACCATCTCAAGGTCGGGGTTTGAAGTATATCATCGGAATGCGCAATCTCCCACATGAGGGAAGGCTTAAACGTTTGGGAGTATTCAGCATCCTTAAATGGCCAGCGACATGATACTTGCATACTTGCTTCCGCATGACCCGCATCATGTGTGTTGCTCCTTATTGAAACTCAGTAGTACCACAAATCGCAGAGGCCACTCATTGGGACTGTCAGAACAGGATAGCGGTCGAAAGTGCCGCTGGAGTTTCTTTTCTGTTCGCGTATACCACCCGTGAGACGCTCTCCCGGAGTCGGTTATTTCTACACGGCATTAGCCATATTCAAAATTCCGTTGGACGATGCACTCAGTCACTTACACTTGATTACCTAGCACCATATCTCCATTCTTCTGCTAATATATACCTAGGAATAATTTGTTTTTACCTATAGGTGCTGTGAAGGTACCCGGATTGCGTGACCAGCATAACAAACGATAAGTCCTTCTTTTAATAATTCAGGCACTAGCTTTTTTATCATCTTCTTTCGATAGCCCACGAAACCACCCAACGGGACTTGTAAAGCAGTGCTTCTTAATCTTAACTCGTATAATTTCATGGTTAATTGACTCACCCTCTCAACAATCCGCAACGGGAGATGGAACTCTACTGGTTATAAATAAGGTTCGAATGATCACTACTCCGTTCACGTAGGAATATGAGGTCGTGCTCAATGATCGCTACATGCATACCGGAACCGTTTCTGTTGCTCAACTCCAACCCGATATTTTGAAGCATCTGCGCTCAAGCATGAGCTGCATGGTTGGACATATCGGTCGATATTTACATCATTTCTTGGTGTAGCCGACAGCAGTTGGTTCGTACATAACAAAATGTTGCTACCATCTGGTATCCTGAAAATGACCAGCTAAGAAAACAGACGGTCATGTAAAAATCGAAAAATAGCAACAACGATATGAAATTATTACTCATCCAACAGAAAAACGTTAGACACAGCAAGGTCCTAGGTGAAGTATCCAGCGTAAATCCGCTTAAATGTGTCATTACTTTCGGAGAATGCTTCCCTTAACACGAACAGAGACCTTGCGTGCATTGCCTTTCATCTGTTGACAATTTAGCACACGAGCTGGTGTTATTTCCCCATGAAGCACGGATCTGTTGCAAGTTTCCATTCTTCCTAGCTACCAGAATATTGACGCGTATTTCAAGCTGTTGATTGGAATGGGTGCCAAGTTGGCATCATCCGTGAGGTAAAGTGTGCACAACCACGTCTACGCTTTCATTCAAGGTTGTTGGAGTCTAACTGTATGAGACAAACACGAGACCTAAACACACTATCACGGTGGATACCCATTCACTGTTTCACTAGCTCAAGAACAGCGCCAAAGTAGCACTCAAACTGAGGGCAGATCGTTGCAGGATTATACTGAGGCGTCTGAAACGGCTGGAACCCTTTCTATTGTTCTCATCATTTGGGTGTTAGGGTTCGAGCAGTGTATATCGATATATGTTCTCCAGAATACGAAGCACAGTCAAACATCGAAATTATCGCAATCAATGGATTTAAGACATCAAATACCTGAAGTCCATTAACCACATAAGTCGGAGCAGAAGCTTTGGCTTGACATGCATTCAAATTGTTGGCAAACTCTCTCTAACCCGATGCGTCCCCACCCTTTGAGTAGCTATCAGTCCCTATGGTTCATCACTCCGTGTGCTGTTTGTCACACATAGTCAGATGAAAGGAAAAATGGTATGGATACTTGTGTCCACTTTAGATGAATGTTAGGTAGGAGAAAAAGCCAAACAGATGGTGACGCCACCAGCCAGGTGTTGCCTCAATAGCAGATTGTTTCCCTGCGTATGCCGTGTGTTCCCGGCAAAGATATCTTTTAGCTGAAGTCCAAACGACCTCCGTCGAACCCTCGGGGTTGAATAGCAAAGCAAGAGAACTAGAAAGGAATTTCACAACACCCTGTTTGGCGAATACCTAACACAGGTTATCAGAACATGAGTAAGTAGGTAAGTTGCACTTTATTGATGACACTTCAGCCTATGACACAGCTGCAAGTTTTTGTCGAACAGATGATGACCAGGCCTTAGTAGTTCTGTGGATAGTTCAGGAAGCTTTTAACTAGTATGTGTAAACTCGGCTTATTGGCCCGCGAGTAAACACTTTTTCTGTACCTTTCTCGCTCTAATAACTACCATGTATGAGGGATGAACCAAGATAAAATATGGAGGTAAACGACTTTTATAAGCTGCTTGTACAACTCACCAGGTCCGACGCACGAGAGTAATTTAACTATAATGATTCACTTTACCAGAACGTATGCATTTTCATCATGGGTAATGGCATCGGGTTTCCATAGAAGGGTGGAGGATGTACGATTCGACCTCCCCAAGGTCCGTTAGCGAATCCATGTTTACCTCCATCATCCTCTTCTCCACCCACGGATCTTGCGTTGAAGTAAAAGGGAGTAAAACCCGCATCTGGTCCCCGATTATATGGGAATGCCACGAGAGGATTTCTCAAAGGTCTTTCAAGATCACGATGTTTCCCCCACAGCGCCGGGCCATTTGCTTCTCCAAGCTCAGACGACTCCCTTGTAGGTCCATAATACGATGGTATCATAGGCACGAAAGGGTCGAAAGAGGTGTCAACGTAGCCAGAACCGAGGGGGGAAGGCCCATTTTGATGCATAGGGAAAGCAGGCTTCCATAAACCACTAAAAGGTCTGTCAAACCAACCCAGTGTTGCGGAACTTTGGAGCGGCGCTACTAAAAGACTTGGTGAGTAAGCGTTGTATGGGTTGCCATTGTTTCCATATGGAATAAATTCCTTTAAAGGTATCTGAGCAATATCAAGATTTGTCACCGTTTCCGGATGGTCCTTATTTTCTCCAAGTTTGATAGAACTGACTAATCTCCCTTCACAATCGGCTCCGTTTGAGTAGGCACATCTAAGGTAATTGTCCAAAGTATTATAGAGCCATTCAAATGGACGAAGGTCTCTTTTGAATTCCTTTCCATTTGGCAACCCTTTAGCAGCTAGTTTCAGGTCATCTGAACGGAACACGTTTGTTGGGCGGATTATTGTTTGGGTTCCCTTGGACTCATCTTCCTTTGAGGCAAGCTTGTCTCCTTCCTTGGTGGCCTCGGGATTTGCCTTTCCAGTCACTGGAGCAGAGATTGATCCGTGGAACAAGGCGCAAAAATAAACGCACCAAAGACACCATACTTTACCTCTATACAGCCGCATCTTCTAACATATGCGCCTCCACCTGATAGGCAGAAGTTACCACCACACGTCAAGTGCGACTCCGAATGGGTGGAAATGAACTGCGTCGAATTTTTGCGCGGATCATTGATTAGTGGCGGTGCACTGGAGGATGATTGCACTCGGTATATCTGCATATTGACCGATCTCATGTTCCATTATGGATCTTTCTGTCACTCAGCCGCAGAATCGATGCCATTCAGAAGATGCGAGTCGAACAGCAGAGATGGCAGATGACGGTGTGTGATAAACGGCTGGGTGTTGGCTCAGATATAGGCTAGCTAAAAGCTGATGTTATGCTGCATACGGAGCTCTTACGGGTGAACAACTGCTAGCTTCCTACGACGTATGAAAGCGAGTCCGAACAAATTGTCACTGGTATCCACTATAGTGGAACATTTGCTTTCATGAGTGCTATGCCAATGTCCCTGACGCGTAGTTCCGAAACATTTATAAAGCTTCCAAAAGTCTGTTGTTCCCTTAAATGTTCTACTCCAAAACAAGTCCACTTCCAGAGCAAAGGACGTCAATGCAATGACCGTTTCGTTTCAGCTTCACCACGAATCCATCTAACTTTCTTCTGCCACTTTCTGTTCACCCAGACGTGACAGAAATGACACAAAAGAAACTCACTGGCCGAAAATATGTTCGACGGTTTCTATCATGCTTTTCTGTTGCACAGTCAGATGTGGTATGATGCATGCCACCCCGAATCGGTGGCTACACCACTCCAAATTGTATTTCGCACTCAGTTTCTCACTCAACCAAGTGACTGACCAACGCGCAATCGTGTGATGAAAGGGGAAGGACGTCAGAAGCGGCCACACTTACCAATCACCTTCCCATTGTCAATGTTCGCTGATCACAAGCGGCTGAACATTCGATTGAAGTGTCGCGTGGCCTTAATCATTCGAGTTGTTAAACTGTCCTTCTATCCAGTATGCCATCCCAGAGGCAAGGTTGAAGACAGCCTTGATCTGGTCGAGGGTGAGTGAGTGCATGCTAACAGAGTGGGGCGGTACGCGGATGAATGAACATGGGAGGCCACGATGACCCACTTTGTAGGGCGCGGTTGTCGAGAGATTATGATTGCATTAATTTAACAAATCCCCAATCACGACAACATCCACACACTAACACACATGAACAGTGAGACAGTTCGCAGGCGTGGTACCCAGCTCGTGTACCGACTCAAAGTTGAAACGACAAAAGGCAGTAATCCGGGAGCCTTATTCACCAGCTATTCGTTTGTCAGTCCGTTCGTCTATGAGTTCTAGTTTAGGCATAAGGTACTCAAGGGATTTGCTTCACGCGTCTAGTGGAGCAGCGTATCTCAAACTGACGGGGTGGCTGACCGACACCACTAACTGGTGTTCAAACAGGTTTTAGCCAAGTGCGGTTGCTAATGTGACGGAATTACCGCTTGCGAGCCAGTCAAGCTAAGCTAAGATTAGCACGTCGGTCATCGATAAATGTGAGATGATTGAGGAGGCTTTAGGTCACAAATCGACAGAAAAATAAGCTGATTTGTTAGACGTAATTAGGTGAATCAACGGAAAGAACTTCTTGCGCTTCTCACATGTTCTAGTTTGTCGTGGGCATACCGAAGTTTTTTGTTGAACTAATACAACATATAGAAGCCATCTTACAAGTTAACACAGATTTGCTTCTTTGTTCTTCCTCATTTCGTTATGCAATATTGTTAGATTCATAAAGACATAAAACGTCGTTACGGACTGAAACAGTACAGGAGGAACTATTGCGGGCTGAAATGATTTCATACTGAGGTTGGCCACATTTCTAGATTTAGTTCATAAAGCAAACAGACCATAGCGAAAAAAGGTTTATTTTCGTAGGCATGTATTGTATCAACCGTCCATGCTTCTGCATTGGTTCGGATGTTCGAATAACTACATTAAGTTCCCACATTTCCACCTTACTGGGTGTTTGTCTACGCCCCTAGCACCTAGGGTGTTTCTTTGGTCGAAAGCTTTTTAAAACCACCTATCGGATCCTATCTGTTTCGACTGCTTTCCGAAATCTAATGCTTATCATATCCCTAATCACTTCTGTAATATTCCTCCGGTTCGACTTTCCAAGCTCTTCCGTGTCCTTAGAATTTCAACACAAACTAACTACCCCGTAGGCGGCTAGATGCTCATTTCAAAACCGCCTAGTAAGAGGCCGATCTAGCGAAGACAGCAAAGGAAACAAGAGAGAGGTCAGAATACATTATACCCTGGGGTAGCAACAATAATAGGAAGCGACAACGACAATGGAAGAAAACCTCATCGACTTCATACCTTTTAACATTTTACCATGACGCACGCCGATTGGCTGTAATATCCACTTTTTTAGTAAGCGCTGTCCTCAGAGTCCATAATGGCCAACACAGACAGCAACTTATGTACCTGCAAGAGGCATTGTGCGCGATATATTAGGCTCGGGAGATTCGACGGTAAGCAGTAATTATGTTCTCTCCATGAGAAGCTTCCGCTGACATATGCACTGACTTGCTCTGTCCCGTGCGCTTCCCGCTATGCCAACATAGCCCCAATGCCAGTTTCACCGGGGTGCATATCGAGCATGAAGGGACCCGAAGACGGACGTGTAGCTGAAAACGCTAAAACTGGTGTTTCATACAAGGCTGTTTGAATGTTATCGAACGACTTCTGGTGAACTTCGCTACAAGTAGATGTTTTAGCCGCCATTAGAAGTTCGTTTAACGGAGCAGCGATGGTTGAAAATCCTCGAACAAATCCTCGATAATAAGTGGCTAGGCCAAGAAAACTAGATACCTCGTCGGCGTTTAATTGAACAGGCCATGAGTGAACGCTTTCCACCTTGGTTGCATTGTACCGCACTCCTTCGTCGGACACAATGTGGCCTATGTAGGCCACCTGCTTTCTCAGAAATTGGCAGTTAGATGGTTTAAACTTCAAGCCCAAACGAACGAAACAATCCACTGAGAGTTAGGCTCTTATCCTATTCTTCCTCTGTCCCTCCATACCTAAAGAAATCGTCCAAATAAACCAGACTGTGGTTTGAGTTCAGTTCCGCCAGCGCCATATATATCAATCTTTAGAAAGTCAGGGACATTTGTCAGGCCTGATGGTGTGGTCTGGAATTCGTATAGGCCCGAAGGAATGGTGAGCGCAGACTTGCATCTGTCATCCGGATGAAGCTCTACTTGTTGGTACCCCAACACTAAGTCTAATCTAGGGAACCAGCTGGACCCTGCGAGGACATCCCCATTCTTTCTCTTAACTAAAACAGTAACGGATGCACACTGCGGTTTTTCTGACCGAATTGTGTCACGCTTTGGAAGTTCATCGACGATGCGCTTAACTCCTAGAATTGGAGCAGCACACGCCTAGTCGGTTGGCGGATGGGAGTTGCATTCCGTGTCGATGCGTTGTTGTCGTTGCGTTGTTGGACCTTATATGGTCCGAGATTGTCATTTGACTAAGAGAAGGTGAGTTAGCGCTTTGACTTCAGATGCAAGGCATCAAAGGAATTTTTATGTGGGTTATTTTCAACACACAGAATAAGACGGAACCGCTGTCCAGACCCCATGATAATACTTGTTGTTTCAATTTGAGTGTCCCGTTGGCCAAACCAAGCTTGACACCACAATTCGCGAGAATGTCTATTCCCTGGATAACATCCTACGAAAGTTTATCAACCACGAAGAAACGATGGATAGCAGAAAATCTCCCTATGGAAATGGTTGCAATAGTCCAGCCTACAGGTTTAATAGTGGTACCGTGAGCTACAATCAAGTTGACCGCACTATTATGACAGATGATGACCTCGGTAGGCACTATACGTCTACGAACCAGAGAACAGGTTGTAATATCTTAACGTGTCTGTTTCATGTCAAACCTTATACGACAGGTGTAGCGGCTACATGAACACTAGAGATGACGTGTACGCCAACTAAGCATTTTGTGACTTACCGCCTCAATTGTGTCCACAAGTGTATGCAACTCAGCCAACTTTTCGACAATATGGGAAATCCACTCTTCATTGACTGCGTGATTTAAAAGCAGGGTGACGAATACGGTTCGATCGAATGGGTGGACTTCTAGGTATACTAGGTCGACCTCTCGAGAGGCGATCGCTGTACCGGATTACTGACGCAGGCCTCGGGTAATCCATAAATCTTTGCAGTTCACATCGGCTATATACTCCACGAATTTTTTCTCGGCGAGTAGTAGCGCGTAGCGACTCTTCTATTCCCTTGGATAGTGTCTCAGGGAACGCCTTCATGGTGTCGGGATCGGTGACGCTTTGAAGCACCTGGATGAAAATGTGCTCATCACGAGCCGCCTTGTCAAATCGAGGATATGCCATGTTCTCGAACTTTTGGAGTGCTGCGATGTAATTGACGAACAACTCTCCAGCTCTCTGTGTTCGAACATGGAACGATCTGCCGTACTCCCACTCGTGTAAGGATAGCAGCAGTGTCGCCTTTAGTTGAATGAAAGTTTCATCATTCAGTGTCGGTGATCATATATTTTGCGGAAACAAGTTGGAAAGCCTCTGGACCCAAAAGCGGTACTAATGCACGCGACTATTCTTCTGCTGGGAACCGACTGATATACCAGCTGGCCTACCGTTCCCATTGCTCGAAATCATCTCCATGCAGTACTTTTCCGGCTGAGCAGGGTGTGGATGGGACGACCACCAAGAAATCCCATACTAATCAATAATAAGCAGTAATCGCCTTAGCAGCTAACATACCTTCTTGATTGGTGGCGGCATGCAAAGGAAGTCATTGCTCTGGTGGTCAGTCCCGTCCTCTGCACGTTCATAGCATGCCTGACAGTGAAGGCAATATCGAAGTCACATATCAGTCATGGCGGTTCGCTGCCAACATGCACGGCTCAGTGGCATAACTCTCTGATTCCTAGAGTAGTGTCGGGGTTCACATCTGGCAGAATCCGGCAAGTGCGCGCTACTGACGAGTCCCAATAGGA